CTTGTTATACCGTTTACCCTGAGAAATGCGATGATGAAGATTCTCCACGAAACCCATCCTGGTCAATTTGGAATGACGTATTTGGTCCAATACATCTGATGGCCCCATTTTAACAGGCAAATTTACTTTAACTGCATAAACTGCTGAGAATGTACTGTGACGGGTAAGAGAAGTATAATTCCCAATTCGCAGATCAGTGAACCCCCCCCCCCCCTACTAGAACCAAACGAAGAACTCAACCTAGATTTCGTTGGACCTTTAGATTCATACTGATACATTTTACTTTTCATCGATCGATTTTCAAAATTCCTTTCGGCAAAGATTACGTCATTTACCTCTTCAAAAACAATTATCTAATTTCTTCAAGATTAAATATTTTTACATGGCATACCCTGCTCAATTAGAGTTGACCACGCATCCTGTTTTACAAGTCAAGATTTTAAATTATTCTGTGACTCAAACAAAATTAAAATAATATTTTGTACAGTAGGAGACCATCGTTCCAACGGATTAGTTGAAAAACTTGTGAATTTTGTAAAAATCAAAGTGTCAGCCATGGTCCAAGGAACACAAAAATGTACATTACAAAACGCCGTATCAAAAACTATCTGGAACTTATGATCTTCCTACCAATCAAAAATCAAATGCTCTCCATTTGAAATTCTTTTTAATAGAAAACCAAATACAATTTGGAAACAACTGGCGTCGGGTAAACCATACATTGGATATTTAGGCAAGGAGAAATCTATATTATCTAAGGGAAGAGCGAAGGATTGGAATGCCGACGACAGAGTCGAAGACGGGTACAAAGACACTTTGATTCTCAGGAAAAATCAACAGAGAAGGGTTACGACACAAATTATGCCTCCACCTCGAAAACTGCCACTACTAGAGTACCACTGCAGAGTCGGTTTAAAGGTAAAATCCTGTTAGAAACGAATGGGAGCATCAGCGGAGACCCATTTTATAAGGAACTAAGCGAAAAGATAATAAATTCGTCTACTTCGACAGTTGAATTTTCCGACGGAAAAATAATTCGAAAATCGGATATCGCTATCCCTAAATCAAAATCGTCTATCATTAGATCTTTTGAAGGCAACATTTCTTTCCCTTACTTTCCTAACCCTAATGTTTAAGTAGGTCAGAAGCGCGAGAACTCAGGACGACAAATCAAACCCCGAAAGCCACAATCCAGTAACCGACATCAGATTGAACTAGGATCATCGGTAACATGACAAAGACACGTGTCGAAGTCATCTTCAAAAGTTAATCGGAGACAACTTCCCCGGTTCAAGAAGACAAAACCACTTCCAGGTTACTTCGCTTAAGACGAATTTATGTTGATTCCCTCAGATATTTCGGATACTAGTGACCGGGAATGGATAGCGGGAGATTTCCCATAAAGAAATGTAGCCAGGGAACGATTCAATTCTGACTCATTAAAAACTTAAAACCAGGACGAGAAAACTCGTAATTTTTGCGAATCCAACGATAACATTAAAGTTGAAATTTTAGAGGGCATCACTAACCCAGAAGGCGATCAACAAACTCAGTCCCCAATAAGCATCATTTCGGCGGAGACAGAACCGAAATTGCAGGGCTAAAAATCATCCACTCCAGCCGAAGCCTCCACGATCACACAAATACCTGACACGCAAAAAAATCGATTCGTCCGATGAAAGAAGATACTACGACAAACTTCCCTGTCTACGAAATAGTGGATTCTTCCGATGAGACTATTTCTGCAACCAAACCCCCAATTAAACTGTCCACGAACTGGTTGCACTATGAGCCAGTGGCAGTCACTATCTGGATGGATGAAGCGGCATTGAACTTGCACGACACCAAAATGGTGTTTTTCCATGCTGAAATTGAGAGGAATGTAATAAGTGACATCCTATCATTGGTCATACACAATGGATTTGTGAGTGTGGAAATGCATGGCGATCAGGAGATCAAATTTCTTCCTCATGAACAAACAAATCCCTAAGAATGGCGATTGATAACTTCGAAGAACAAACAGAACTTGATACGGAATTTTTTAACATAGAATTGGAAAAAATTAAAACTGTTATCGTAACTGTAATTGATAATTCTCCGTTGATATTTTGCTTTGGTGCTATTTCATTTTCGCCTTTCTTTCAGACCCAATCTCATACAATTTATCTCGCCACTGTAACTTAAAAAATTATAGTTTCGAATTTCATTTATTCAGCACATCAATCCTTTGGATTAGTTAAATTCTTATGTACTTTACGTCGCCGTACTCCTCTTTAATGTAGTTAATTGCTTTGCCATATCATTGATACATCATCTCGCGTTAACATAAAACTAAGATGACTTAATTTCTTTCCTCTTATATTGGACCATATCCGGCGGTTATTGGACATTTTACCTTTAGGCATTAATTTCGCAATACCCTTAAAGAGCTATTATTCGTATTGAATCAGTTTTGTTAGTTTAGTTTCAGTACACTATCGGTGTCGAAAATAAAAGTTTTATTCCCCAAAAGGGGGAGAAAGGATGCAGTTAGTTAGTAACTAATTAATTGTACAATTTAAAATTTTTCCTGTTTGTTTAGAGGAATGATGTGATTCTCAGTTTATTTTGCACCTACTGCAACTATTACGTAACTTGCTAACAGGTGACTTATTTATGACCTTCACTTTGAAATTCTCTCCGGCGGAGAGAATGCTCTCCCTCTCTCTCTTTTTAAGGTTCTGACTTTAGACTAATTCACTTTTATTCTTTTATTCTTTTTAATTGTATAAAGTAGATTTAGCTACAACTAAAAAACATTTTATCAGCGAAACATATGAAACAGCTGACTTAATTTAAAAATGGACATTTATAACTGTTTCCCACTATTGCAAAAGAGGTATTCCCTACTCGGTAAGAAATCGCCTCTATTACAAAAAGAGGTCCAATCCTATTTGGTTCACAATGTTTGACAATTGATTTGGTTACTTAATATACAAGGGTGGTTAATCATTACTGAGGTAAACCATAGGATAGGATGAGTTGTTAAATAGATTTCTAACACCATTGTAATCTAAACAGCTCTTATATAATCTTTTAAAAACCTCAGTCAAAGATTGGGTCCTGAAAATTTTGTCTAACTTACCAAAAAATTGGATCTGTTTTTTTTCTCGATATTGAGAGAAATGATTTGGAATAAAAAAATATATATTTTTGGAATATGAATAGCGACTCAAATGACTTAAATATGATACCACGCTTGTCGCCTTAGAGTTTTTTTGAGGTACCTATAAATATTGGAATATACTCACCCTACTGCCAAGTTTGAGATTCGAAGAGACAAAAGTTCAGTTTGATACTTAATGGATATGTTCTTTCAAGTGCTGGCTGAAAGTGTGACGTATGATCCGGAGACATATACTCTAAGCGTTTCCACGAACTGGTTGCACTATGAGCCAGTGGCAGTCACTATCTGGATGGATGAAGCGGCATTGAACTTGCACGACACCAAAATGGTGTTTTTCCATGCTGAAATTGAGAGGAATGTAATAAGTGACATCCTATCATTGGTCATACACAATGGATTTGTGAGTGTGGAAATGCATGGCGATCAGGAGATCAAATTTCTTCCTCATGAACAAACAAATCCCTAAGAATGGCGATTGATAACTTCGAAGAACAAACAGAACTTGATACGGAATTTTTTAACATAGAATTGGAAAAAATATAAAATTGTTATCGTAACTGTAATTGATAATTCTCCGTTGATATTTTGCTTTGGTGCTATTTCATTTTCGCCTTTCTTTCAGACCCAATCTCATACAATTTATCTCGCCACTGTAACTTAAAAAATTATAGTTTCGAATTTCATTTATTCAGCACATCAATCCTTTGGATTAGTTAAATTCTTATGTACCTTACGTCGCCGTACTCCTCTTTAATGTAGTTAATTGCTTTGCCATATCATTGATACATCATCTCGCGTTAACATAAAACTAAGATGATTTAATTTCTTTCCTCTTATATTGGACCATATCCGGCGGTTATTGGACATTTTACCTTTAGGCATTAATTTCGCAATACCCTTAAAGAGCTATTGTTCGTATTGAATCAGTTTTGTTAGTTTAGTTTCAGTACACTATCGGTGTCGAAAATAAAAGTTTTATTCCCCAAAAGGGGGAGAAAGGATGCAGTTAGTTAGTAATTAATTAATTGTACAATTTAAAATTTTTCCTGTTTGTTTAGAGGAATGATGTGATTCTCAGTTTATTTTGCACCTACTGCAACTATTACGTAACTTGCTAACAGGTGACTTACTTATGACCTTCACTTTGAAATTCTCTCCGGCGGAGAGAATGCTCTCCCTCTCTCTCTTTTTAAGGTTTTGACTTTAGACTAATTCACTTTTATTCTTTTATTCTTTTTAATTGTATAAAGTAGATTTAGCTACAACTAAAAAACATTTTATCAGCGAAACATATGAAACAGCTGACTTAATTTAAAAATGGACATTTATAACTGTTTCCCACTATTGCAAAAGAGGTATTCCCTACTCGGTAAGAAATCGCCTCTATTACAAAAAGAGGTCCAATCCTATTTGGTTCACAATGTTTGACAATTGATTTGGTTACTTAATATACAAGGGTGGTTAATCATTACTGAGGTAAACCATAGGATAGGATGAGTTGTTAAATAGATTTCTAACACCATTGTAATCTAAACAGCTCTTATATAATCTTTTAAAAACCTCAGTCAAAGATTGGGTCCTGAAAATTTTGTCTAACTTACCAAAAAATTGGATGTTTTTTTCTCGATATTGAGAGAACTGATTTGGAATAAGAAAATATATATTTTTGGAATATGAATAGCGACTCAAATGACTTAAATATGATACCACGCTTGTCGCCTTAGAGTTTTTTTGAGGTACCTATAATTATTGGAATATACTCACCCTACTGCCAAGTTTGGGATTCGAAGAGACAAAAGTTCAGTTTGATACTTAATGGATATGTTCTTTCAAGTGCTGGCTGAAAATGTGACGTATGATCCGGAGACATATACTCTCAGCGTTTCCACGAACTGGTTGCACTATGAACCAGTGGCAGTCACTATCTGGATGGATGGAGCGGCGTTGAACTTGCACGACACCAAAATGGTGTTTTTCCATGCTAAAATTGAGAGGGATGAAATAAGTGACATCCTATCAATGGTCATACATAATGGAATTGTGAGTGTGGAAGTGCATGGCGATCAGGAGATCTGCAAAGCAGAAATGAGTGAAAAAAGTTAGTGTTATTAAGTGAACAAAACAGGCAGTTTAAAGTTTGAAAATTTGCAGAGCTTTACCAAAACATCATGAAAGAGATCAAACATGTTTTTCTGCAGCTATTTTGTTTAGAAATGCAGTCCAAAAATGACGTTTTATGGAATTTTCTGGAAAAATTTAATAGTTTTCCACCTTCAAACTGTTTGTACAGGCACTAAAAATATTCAGATTCGGCCGGCCAAAATGAATTTTGTAAACAGTACCAGATAGGGTAGTCTTTGGGCCGTCAGGGATCTGAATCCTTGAGGGGAAGAGGTGTTCGGCCCAACGCCAACCTCGCTAAACTGAAGAATTTTGTTTCTTTCCATCAATGTGTTGATAGGTGCTTTAGGTAGTAGCTGAACAGTAAAACATTTTGTTTTCTTCAGCGATTTGTTCTCAGGAACTGACTAGAAACTGTTGTCTCACAGTAACAGTTATGAATGGCAAAGTTTGTGGTATAAAAATAACAATTCTTCAACAAAGTTTATTTCTCAAATGGCACTATTAAACTATTTGGCCAAAAATATTGCCTCATTGATTTGCACTTTTAAATTATGTTAAAAATTGGCAAACTTCGAAGATTATAAGAAAATTTTCATCAGAAAATTTGTACCATGATGGATAATGCGTGATAAAATGGAGATTGAGCAGGAAAAACATAAGGAATAGTAGGCCAGCAAACAATTCAGACCAAAATAAAACGTGGACGACAAGGTGTTATTTTTTAACCCGACATTATCCAAGGGACATAAAAAAAAAGTAAATTTTCAGCGGATCCCCGCCTATTTCAAAGAGATATTGTCAGCGAACTGTTTCAAGTTTTTTTGATTTTCAAGTCAAAACTTATAAGCATACATTCTATGAAAACTTACGTTTACAATAAAGTTCGGCTTGTGAGAATACCAAAAAGGCATCAACCCGTCGGATGGCATCTCCATGAGCAAAATCTATTCGTCTACTTTTTTAAACGAAGATCATATAAACAAAAGGACCGCAAAAGTTTATTTTACAATGCATCCCAGGGTAAACAACCAAAAAAAACAACGTTTAACTTATCTTTCCTTGAAACTATAAGAGATATTTCGCTGAGTGACGTTAACAGGCTGTCGGATGGTTCCCCCTGAAGCGAGCCATTTTTCAGCGAATTTAACCTTTACTATGGTTAATCTAGGGAGCAAACTTTTGATCTCGAATACTCGATGCTGAGATATGTGTAAGGGATGGTGGTTTATCTCATGGGTAGGGGTGCTGTTTCTATTCCTACACAATATCTGCATTTTACTGTAAGATCTGCATATTCTGTTTTTACCAGATCTAAGCTCTATTCTACGTTATGGACCGCCTACCCGTGTGCCAGATGACGGCCGACTTGTGATGAACTATACAATTGAGGCCAACGAAGAAGGAGTTCGCTTCATCCTCATCAGTATCTGCCGTAAGTGGAGCCACTCAGATAGATCAATCACTCATCCAAACCCCACCCCCTCAAAACAGAAAAAAAACCATTATCATATGCAACCGTAAACTTGCGTGGAAACTGCCCCTAGCAGAACAAGATTAGAGCAGTGTTTGTATAATAGTCAAAACAGCCCATTTCATCCGACCCGCATACTCGGATGCGTGCTGTGTTCTTTAAACTGTTTGTTTGTTTTCTTTTCAGAAACGAAGCAAAATCTCTTAATACTTGAAAATATTTCAAGGGTGGTCAGTTTTCAGGGAGTAACTCTTGCTAAAATAAGGTCTCTCAATTGAGTTAAGTCCGGGTTGGTCTGCTCATAGAGTAATTTCAGATAAGGTACACCACACGGTCTGCTCGTTACCCGCACATGAGTGAGTTATATCCTTTTGGTTATAACTGATAGAGCAATTTCAGATAAGGTACACCGTCTGCTCGTCACGCTATCTCAGTTTCGGCCGGATATATTCGTGCAACTTCTTAGTCTAATACCAATCTTTATCGTACTCTTATATCTCCTAGTCTCAATAGATCTAGTGTACACCGGTTTATGCGGGTTAGTTCCAGAATGAGAACAACTGTATTCTAAGTTTAATTCAAATTGCTCTGGTGTTGAAACTACAAGTAGTTTCAACACTTTACAAATAAGTGGGTTTTTAGTTTGATGGAGTATGATTGGTTAAAATTTAATATTTTATAGAGATAAAATATCATAATAAAAACCAATGATAAATACTAGTTTAGATTTGGTTCCACCCATCCGGGGTTTTGAAAGTTTTAGTTTTTCAATGCTGTATTGTAGTGTAGGATAGAAGATGGTGTTTTTCTTTAGAGGTTGCGAGCATATTCTTTTTTCTGGTTTGGAAAAAGAGATGTTATCACGATAGTTTCGGAAGATCGTATTATGATTTCTGATCGGTTGTGATGAGTATTGATCTGGTTGATTTTAGAGATTAGGAATGGTCTAATCACATTCGAGAGTGTTATGTAGTTCGACTTTGGATGCAATGCCTGGTGACTTGTATCTGTACGTATAATTGAACATCGAGATGGCCATTGTTCTGTTGCAATGGATTTCCTTTGCGGCGATGCCAAGTCGTACTTTAAATCCGTTGAGTGTAGTGACTGTAGGCAGCATTTCGGGTGTAATTTGCCATTCCGTAGTTGGAGTGTGATTGGGTAGTCAAATTCCATGCTGCTCGTCTTTGAGCTGTTTTCAAATTCCTTGCTGCTCGTCTTTGGGCTGTACATATACAAATTTTTGCTAATTTTGTTTTTATTTATGATCTTGTAATAATTTTTATCGCAAAAGCGTTCTTGTTTTAGTTCCGTTATTGTTAAGAGAATAATTTATCCAGTTCTAAGCTCTTGTTATAATCCGGTTTGGGTACCGTGCGTTTTTGTTTCTTAGTCATGCTGTTAGGTTGTGGTTTGTGGTTTTTAGAAAGCTTGCGTTGGTTAGTTTGGATTATTATGTAATTCCTTTCCAACCGGGTTAAAGGAAAGTTTGAAATGTGTTGAGACTGCTAAGAGTTGTTATCAGTGAAAGTTAAAAGTGAAATTCATTTTTTAAACATTTCTTTGTGGGCGAGCTGTGCGTTTGTGAATAGGATTGTGGGCGAGTGATTATTTAAAACTACAAAGAAGCGTCTTTGAAAAGGTTAGTACTGCTTTAGCTTTATAGGCAACTTTTATTTATTTTCTATAAGCTTCATATATTGTAATTGGTTAATCTAAATTTATGATTCTAGAAAAAAGTTTTCTGTTTTTTGTTTCGTTTTTCTTTTTTGTAGATGTTGATGATCGTGCCTGTGAAAACTAAAGAAAAAGAGAGGACATTTATTAAGAATGGTTAGTTTTGTTTCGAGTTTATTAGAATAATTTAATTAATTCGTACTTACCTTATTCGTCGGGAAAGAATCTATGGGGAAAAACGTCGTAGATTATTTCTGATGATGTTATTAGTTTAGCTAGTAAGCGAATGATGCATTTAGTTTGGAGAAGTGGCCAAAGCAAGTCAAGTGTAATCGGGTTATTTATTGGTTTTTTGACAAGTAGGTTGGGTTTAAGCAATTTTTGGTGAGGGGAAGTTTGGAGGGCTATTAAGGGACTTCCTAGTTTTATTTTTGTTTATTAGATGATCCGGTGTACTTGAGAGTTATTTGTACTTTAGTTTAAATGATCATATCGATTTTGTACGTTAGGTTAATTTAATATTTTTGCTTGAGGGTAATTCGAGGTCTAAGGTGGGACAAAATTGTTGATTTTTGTTCTAGTTGATAAAGGAGGGTCGTAATTTTGAGGTTTTGTTTATTTCAGTTGTCAAATTTGAGCAGGTTGCTTATTTTTGACCTGGAGTTTTTAAAGTTATAGTTAGAGATACGCTTGAAGGTGATTGTTTGTCGGCTAAAGAAGTCGTGTCAAAAATAAGGTGATGATTCGGAAAGGTTCTTATTGGCTGAAATTGAACTAGTTTGTTCAAGTTCTTTCCACCATGAGTTTTAAGAAAATATTCGGTCCATGAAAATATCTTCAAGAGGTGAAAGTCTTAATTATTTAAAGTGGTTTTTGAAGTTCAACTTTCTTTAATATTCTAGATTGCGGGATGAATGTTTTGTAATCTTTTCGTGGCTGATTAGGAAGTTGCGATGATTGTCTATGTGGAGATTATTCTTTTTGATCTTGTGGTAAAATTTTTTCTTCTAATTTTCAATTTTTTTTCTGTGTTTGAGTGATTTCTTTTGTTGTCTAAATTTGTTGATATTTGTTTTGGAAGTCCTTTGATCTTTTTATCTAATTGTTTTTGGATGGGGTACATATCAGTGCTTTGATTTTGATGTTGTTCTGAGCTATTTTGAATAAATTTAAGTCTTGTAAAAGAGTATAATTGAGTAAGTTCTCGAAGGGCGTACTCTTTCGGGTAAAAAGGTTAAAGATTTTTTCGATGTTGAACGATTTCTTTTTTATTTAAGTCTGTAAGTTTGTAAGTTACATCAGTGGGTTTATCAATTGTTTGATACGGTCGTTTTCGGAGTGGTTGTAATTTTTCAGAAATTCCTTTTTGTGTTGTCAAATTTGGAATTAAAACATATGTTCCAATTTTTAAACTTGTAGCTGGGGTAAATCGGGAATTTATTTGGGAATTAATATTTTGTCTTTGTAATAATTTTTTTGTTACTTTCTGGTAAATTTCGTTGTGTATTTTGTCTCTGTTTAAAATCCATTCGTTGTGTGTACCGGAAGCTAATTTTAAAATTTGTGGGTGATGAAAGTGATCTTCATTGTGGGTATGTAGTGGTAGATTATATTATATTGATTCTTTAATGGGTTGACAATAACCTTGTGTATTTTTGCTTAATTGGCATGTTAAGCAATCCTTGGACGAAACTAAATAGGTGTCTATATAATCAGTGGAGGTTGCAGTGTGGTTTTGTCGGGGTGCAAAGTACTGCTACGCTCAAGGTCTGTTAGTATACAATTTTTTTTTCACTCTGCATTTTCTTTGTTTTTCATTATATTGAAATCCTAAAAAAATTCTCACTAGCGCAATTTAAACTGTAACCATCTAATTTGTTATCCTAGTCATAGCCATAGTCATCTCTAGGGTCCAACGTTCCTAAAGTTTTGATTTTTTGACCCTAGTTTTGAAAAAATTGGAAAAACATGCCCAAATTCCTTGCTTTTTGGTGGACTTCAGAGGTTTGGGTTGGGACCCAAATTTTTCTCATGTAGATGTTTTGGGGCTGCTTTTGTTAACTAATCTGGGTCTTTAAGGCTAGATCTTCCGTCTCATAAGTAAGATTTCGAATAAGTTGAAAAATCTGATCTAGAAAGTCCATAAAAAATTTTGCCATTTTTGGCCTGTTTTTCGAGGATTTTTCGTGCAATTTGTGTCTTAAACTTTATTTTTTTGTGCTCACAATGGGGTCTAACATTTGAGGACAATGATTGTCGGAGTTTATTTTGTGTCACCTTTTAAGTTCAGTTTTTTGGTACTTGCGTTTCTTCATTTTGAAAATCGTTTCCTTATAATTTGTTTTTGTTTGTTAATAATTTTCTTTCTTAGTGTTTGTCTTTTTGTTCTTATATATTCTACTGTTTGTCTGTGTGGTGTGATTAAGAGTTCGTATTTTTCGTCGTTAATTAAACAATTGTGTATTAAGATTTTTTGTTTGTATCCTAAATTGTCTCTTGACGTAAGGTTTAAGATGATGGATGCAATACATGGGTTAATGATTTCTAATGTCTAAAACTGTTAGTTCTTACATTCTTTTGTGGTTAGCTTAACTTGGGTTGTACTGTTGGGTTGGAGAGAAAAGCATATATTGATTCCTGAGAATGATTTTTTTCTCGTGACTAATTCTAAGCTAAGATATACCTACCTAATCTTACTTAGGGGTTGTGATTTGTGATCAAGGGTTGCAGAATAGTAAATGGATCCACAAGGTTCAGATAAAATTAGAACGCAAGTAGTTCGTTAGATACTAATTCATGACTTACTAAGTTTAAGTGTTTTAGCCTGGGTCATCTAAGAGGAGTAGGTTCAAGTGAAGGATGAGTAACCGAAATTTTTCACTGTTAAGCTTAATTAAAATGCTTAGTTTTTCGAATTTTTTTTGATAATACTGGGTCTTTTGATAAAGGTTGGGTAGTGAATCGACGTTTGAGGTCGTTAGAAACTAAATAAAAGGGGAGGGGAGAACAAAATTGTTCTATTTGATCCAATGATAAGCCTTGATGATCAGATATTTAGATTTAGATTAATTTAATTTTAAGATCCAAGGGAAGCCTTGATGGTCAGAATATTTAGATAAAAATAATTTAGTTTAATTTAAGTGAAATTAATATAAAGCTCCAAGGGAAGCCCTGACGATCTGTTGTTTTAAATGAAATTAATTTAAGTGAAAACAAGGATGAGCCTTGATAACTTTTAGGTAAAGGTTTAAATGAATTAAAGATTAAGTGTTTAGTTTTGATGA